TGAAAAGTTCCAGACCTATTTGGTTGATCTGAGTTTGCGATTGCAGCATCCAGACCAGAATAGAGTCTGGCTGACTACAGGTGGCGAGGTGTGATCATGGCTACATCATACATCTGGCTTGCTTGATTCAGGAACCAAACCAGTTACCGAGCAGGGTTCACACCTATAAAATTCATCCCGGTAGACCATAGCTCTGTAAAGTCCGTCGATAGAATATAGTATAGGTAGAATGTCCTGCCTCATCCAAGATTCCATCCTGGGCCAATTTATCCGCCTCGTTTCCCGCGGCCGGTACTTCCGGTTTGAGGAGCAAAAAGACCTCTCGCTATGGCAGCAGTACGTCAACCTCAACAAATCGGGCCGCATGGCTTACGCTGGTCGTCCCGATGCCGATGAGGAACTGCCTGAGCGCTTCAGCGCTGCCGACACCGAGTCCATGACAAGGGTGCCCTCCACGGCATGGTCGCATAATGGCCGTCGGTATCAAGGCATCACTGGGGCCGTCATCGACCCAGAAAAGGGACGCGACGTGACCATCGTCGACTGGTGGAGTGATCGTGATCCGGAGGTATGCATATACTGTTGTATCCTGAACGAAAGCTAACTCATCAGAACCCCCAACACTGGCCGCTATGGAAGAAAGTCGTGGTGACCTTTGAAATCTGCCTCCTCACCTTCAGCGTGTACATCGGCAGCGCCATCTACAGCGCCGGTATCGAGTCAGTCATGTCCGAGTTCCAAATCAGTCAAGTCGCGGCTACATTGGGACTGACTCTGTTCGTGGCTGGCTATGGACTGGGTCCGCTGTTATGGTCACCCATGAGCGAGGTGCCCCAGATCGGGCGCAACTCCGTCTACATCGCGACACTGATCGTGTTTGTAGCCCTGCAAGTCCCAGTCGCATTGGCCGGAAACCTCGGCACACTACTAGCCTTTCGCTTTCTGACTGGCTTCTTTGGCTCGCCTGCTCTCGCAACAGTACCCCTCCCCTCCCCTCCATTCGCTGTCCTGCGCTAACAGCATCAGGGCGGCGCCACCCTCTCCGACATGTTCGCCCCTCGCAAACGCGCCTACGGCATCGGCATCTGGGGTATCAGCGCCATCTGCGGCCCGGTGCTCGGTCCCTTAGTCGGCGGATTCGCCGCCCAAGCCAAAGGCTGGCGCTGGACGATCTGGGAACTAATGTGGCTATCAGGATTCACACTAGTCGTACTAATCATCTTCCTCCCAGAAACATCCTCGAGCAACATCCTGTACCGACGCGCCCGCCGACTCCGCAAACTGACCAACCGGTCCAACTTGCGCAGCGAACCCGAACTCGCCAGCGAACATCTCACAGCCCGCGAACTCGCCATGATGACGCTCGTCCGGCCCTTCACGCTCAACTTCACCGAACCCATGGTCTTCCTTCTGAACCTATACATCGCCCTAATTTACGGTCTACTCTACGTATGGTTCGAATCCTTCAACATTGTCTTCGCCGGCATCTACGGCTTCAATCTCGGCCAACAGGGTCTAGCGTACATCGGCATCCTAACCGGCGCCCTGATAACAATCCCTCCATATTACTGGTGGATGCACAAATACCTCGAACCAAGATTCGACCCCGAAACAGGCAACGTTCCCCCGGAGGCGCGTCTCCCACCCGCTATTGTAGGCGGGTTCTTCATCCCAATCTGTCTGTTCTGGTTCGGATGGAGTGCCCGTCCCTCTATTCATTGGATCATGCCGATTGTGGGCAGTGGGTTCTTCTCCGTCGGTGCGTTCTTGCTTTTCAACCCTGTGCTGAATTATCTCTCCGATGCGTACCCGGAGTATGCGGCGAGTGTGCTCGCTGGGAATGATTTGTTTCGGAGTGCGTTTGGTGCCGGGTTTCCGCTGTTCGCGACGGCGATGTATAAGAATCTGGGGGTGGATTGGGCGAGTTCGACGTTGGCATTTCTAGGGTGTGCGTTTATTCCCATTCCGGTTGTGTTGATGAAGGTGAGTTTTCTTTTCCTTTTCATGGGGAGGTGTGGGGTCGGGCTAATTGATGTTGTGTGTAGTACGGGGAGACGTTGAGGAAGAGGTATAGTCGGCATGCGCGGAAGGATATATAGGTTGGTTGATTTTTTTAAATTGGGGTCCAAGCTCCGGGGTAGAGCAATAGATGAAACTACTGGTTGGTTGATCTGCGTGGGTCTGTTAGAATGTGGTGGAAAATATTTGTATTATTAGATGATATAGTAATCTGGTTCAATCCGACCATATAAATGATACCAACCAGCGAGTCAGCTTGCATAATTCTTGATACTTCCGAGGTCTTTTCGACTCAATTTGCTGGAAGCCCCACACATATATCGGGGTCGTCGTGTTCACTATATAGTGGTTCGTATGCGGGATATTGTCGCTGGTCAGCGTCGCTGGGTGGCATTCTGAAACGTCAGTACAGAAGGTTATAGATGGATGTGAGACCTTAGTGGCAGGGTGGAGGTAAGCAAGAGCTTTAAGAAGAGACTAGCAAGGCTGAGAGCCTTATCAGTGCACTGCAAGGCTATAGACCTAAATTGCAGAGCCGTATCATCTACTCAACGAATCAGAGATGTTCCATCGGATGCCGGTCAGTAAGTAGCCTTTTCCAACAGAAAGCAAGTACATTTTGCTGTGGCTGAGGCTGGTGCGCACGGCCCAAAGGATTTATGTAGTAGTTACAACCGCGAAGTTTCATTGGATCAAACCCAGTGCTTCCGAATTGCAGGCAGCTATCTAGGTACCCAGTAAGCATGGGCACACCACTTACGTGCTAATCTTTTGCCATGTAACTGATATCGTTAGACCAGTGACCATAGGACTTAGGATGGTAGCCATGAGAGGGAAATAAAAAATATGAAAGATTACCTATAGTAAGCACCACAACCCACCTCAGTGACTAGTAACTACTACTACTATTCAGAGGATCGAGATTCTGATAGACCTAGGAAACAGCCAAGCAGAAGTGGCTGTCAGGAACGGTGCAAGTTTCCCATATTGAGTTTCAGCATTTAAATCTTATATTCGATGCGACATGTGAACTTTTCGCTATTTATAGGTGCAGAGCGTATATCAAGGGTGTGTTTCCGGCTCTCTCTCAGCTACTCAGGATTCCGCTATCAAGCAGTGCAGAGAATCAGGACATCCTGAGCTTCAGAGATATTTCGACACTTATGATTTCTATAAATCCTGTTGCTCCGCTTCTCCTGCGACAGTCGCTGCATTTTCCCTAACGTGGCGCTTGACACTGCCCTCCACACCCAGCCACAGAAGGTCCGGTCGGCTATAGTGTCCACAGACATCTACAAAGGCTTTGGAGTGGTAAATCTGATCCAAGTCGAGGTCGGCGTAAATAATGCCCTCTTCTGTGCTGGGAATGGGCTGCGATAATTGGCGGCCGTCAGGCCCGAAGATGGCGGAGCAGCCTCCGCCAGGGGTGCTCATTAGAGCACCACCATGTGTTGCCATTCGGTCAACACCCGACTGGCCTATCACTGTCGTGGTATGAAGGACAAAAGACTGACTTTCGATAGCATATGTCCTCGCAATGGAACTGGTACCTGAAAGGAGACTTGTTAGCATTCCATCTGTGTACCTCGTCCAGTTGGCATCCATACCCTCGCTGGACATCGAAAACAAGGAACCGTCTTCGCTGTGAGGGAACAGAGGCGGCCATGCGGCAACATGAATCTGTTCCCTCTGGGCATAAGTGTGATATTTCAGCAGAGGCTGGATGTGCTCCCAGCAGGAAAGAGCACCGACGCGACCGGCTGATGTGTCGACTACACTCTGCAGACAGTCTCCAAACGAGTCACCGAAAATGGTCCGCTCCATATGAGTGGGCTTAATTTTCTTTCGGGTGGTGAGGATCTTCCCATCACTTCCAATAATAGCCTGCGAGATATACAGGGAGTTATGCAAGTTCTCGGAAAAGCCCAAAACAACGACTATTTTATTCTCCGCTGCACATTGTTGGATGCTGGCCATCTGCGGGGAGTCTATTTTCAGGGAGTTTTGTATATAAGTAGATGACAGACGCATGTCAACAGGCCGTGTCCTTTGCAGACCGATAATCATTTGTCAGTCTGTATGATTCGTGCCACATGGTGCAGTTGTACCCACCAGATCCAGGCAGGATATCCCGGGATCCAACACTCGGGGAAAGTAACCAACTGAGCGCCATTCGCAGCTGCTTCCGCAATAAGGTCACACGTCTTTTTCACGGTCGCTTCCAAATCAAGCCAGACAGGCTCTGCCTGGATAACTGCGACGCGTACTTGAGAAGACATAGCGGGGTTGTGGGAACTCGGAATGTTTGAAACTGAGGAGGATGTCCGGGATTTGCATGCAGGGAGCTCTCGGGATTTATATGCCATGTACACTCTCACCTCGGCCGATTGTACGGACTACCCCTCATGCCAAGCCGACTTATCGTATGATAATGAGATTGATAAACTACCATTTTCAGCCGAAATTGATGCTGTTGTGACACCCCGGTACAGACATGCTCAGGATTAAGGTTACTTGGCAACCAATGCACAACATCATGGTGTGGCCCATTTTCATCGTAATGGTGGTTGTAGTTGTTGCTAGACCATGTTGCTTGGTCCATTGTAATAATGGTAGTGAAATGCCATCTATCCCTTGCATTGTGGTGGACACTTAAGGCGCCGATAACGGATGTTCGGCATGTTTCTTGACGGAAAATATATTGAGCTGATACTAGGCGTTGACCTAACCGCGTGGATCTGCGTAAACTCGTCGAAAGACTAACGCCAGTCCAAGTAAACAGCAGAGATAATATTTGGACATTTAAATCATGTGCAATACCCAAGACCATCAGGAAACTGATGAGGCAGTTGAGGTAGGGCAGTGGCTGACTTCAGCCATCTGCCGGATCTGGTCAGCCGGGCCGTGGCTGACGTTAGCCACATCTATCTCCCACCCAGCTATTTAACGCGACAAAGTCAACTGAACTAATGGCTTAAGATTTCATCACAATCAGCATATTGAATAGCAACAAATCCCTCTCCCTAGTAATAATACCAATTTTCATACAAAGCCGACAACTAACTGAGAACATGGTTGCCATTTCAGAGGTCCGCGGGCAGCTACCCAATATCAAGAACCTGGGTTCGGGTCTGGTTGCTGTGTTCGGTATGTGCATGACTTTGCTATCTTAGACGCCAACTAACAATGAGTAGTGGGCGGAACTAGCGGAATCGGTCTATCGACAGCGAGGGAATTCACTCGTTACGCGACAGCTCCTCACATCTACTTGATTGGACGCAACGAAGCTCAGGCATCGGAGATCATCTCAGAACTCCGTGCCGTCAATCAATCCGCAACAGTAGACTTCATCAAGAGTGATATCTCTCTACTCAAGAACGTCGACACGACATGTCGCGAGATCGCTCAAAAGGAGTCAAAAGTAAACCTTCTCTTCCTGAGCGCGGGTATTTTGACTACTCAGGGAAGGACTGGTGAGTACTTCCCCTTCACCTATCCCTTCACTCCGACTCAACATGAAATAGAAACACCCGAAGGCCTCGACCGCAAGCTCAGCCTCCACTACTATGCCAGAATGCGTTTCGCCGACAACCTCCTCCCACTCCTAAACCAGGCCGCCTTATCAGACCGCCTAGCCCGCGTAGTCTCCGTCTTCAGCCCAGGAAACGAGGGCAAACTCATCGAAGATGACCTCGACCTTCGGAGCAACTACAGTCTCTCGAATGCAGCCGCTCATGGTTGCACCATGACATCTCTCTACATGGCGCAACTTGCCGCGGCACATCCGAACATTAGTTGGGTTCATAGCCGTCCTGGTGCCGTGAATACGAACGTCACGCGAGATTTCAACCCGCTTGTCAGAGGACTCACTAGCGCTCTTTTTGTGTTGACGCCTCTTTTATCGTCGATCGGGCTCATTTCTGTCAAGGAGTCTGGGGAGAGGCATGCGTATGCGGCTACGAGTCCGTTGTTCGCGCCACGGGTTAAGGGCGTGGATACGGTGGGTACTGATGGCGCGAGGGGAAGTGGTGCGTATCGGGTGGATTATGATAGTTCTATTGTTAAGGCGAAGTCTGAGTTGGTTAAGGGGTATCTGGGTAGTGGAGTGGGTAAGAAGGTGTGGGAGCATACGAGGGATATGTATGCGAAAGCTACTGGGAATTAGTGACTGCGTGTATGTACTATATGAGACGATGTAATAATAATTAGTGAATTATAATGGAAGATTCGTTTTGGATATATGAGGATAAAGCATGGTGGCTAGGCCATCATACAAAGGTGAAGTACTAGCTTATAACTTTCGATAGTAATCTATCGGACAAGAAGGAAGACAGCTTTGTCATCAGACCGAGCTCTATCATTCTATTAACATATCCATCATCTATCATCTATCATCACTCATTAAAACCAACCCACTCCACCCAGCAAATCTATGAATCCTCCTTCCCCCTAACGAAACACCTCTCTACCTCCTCCAACGACCGTCCCTTCGTCTCGGGCATATAAAACCCACAAACGACAATCGTCAGCGCCGTACAGCCCCCAAACAAAAAGTACGCAGCGCAACTACTCCTCGCCAACAATACGGGAGTAATCAATGCCACAAAGAAATTCGACACCCAGTTACTCCCATGCGCCAGACACGTCGCGCTCGCTCTCGTCCGCTGGGGCTGGATCTCCGCCGCGTAGACCTTGCAGCTCACACCCCACGAAACACTATAGATAGCAGCGAAGAGATAGATCGCGACGATAACGACCCAGCGACCAGCGCCAGTGGAATGGTGAACGGCATCGGCAGCGTACAACGACCCGATCACGAACATGGTGATGGTGAGCCCCAGACCGCCGAGGATGACGTTGGCGCGCCGGCTCCAGGAGTCAGCGTAGATGAGGCCTGGGATTGTCACTACGAAGATGACGAGGCCGGAGACGCCGGAGGCTAGGAAGCTAGCTTGAGAAGAGGTCATGCCGGCTTGCTCGAAGAGCATGGGGGCGTACTTTTAGGTATTAGCCAATGCAGGAAAACAAGTTTGGGGAAAAGGGAACATACGTATAACACCCCATCAATCCCAGCCATCTGCTGCATACCCATGAGAAACAAGCCCAGGAGCGTCCGATTACGCACATCGGGCTTGAATGCATCGAAAAGCGAGGCCTCTTCTATCCCCTTGCCCTTCGTCCGACGGGTAGATACGCGACTATGGCGCGAAACCACCTGGTCGAGGGTATTCGGCGCAAGGACACTCCCCGTCGGGGCGAGCGGATGCGTCAACGCCTCTTCGTGCACGTCGACTTCCTCTTCCTCTTCGAGGAGTTCTTCGCGATCGGCCTCGCTTACTTGCAGATACTCCCAAGCGCGAGTGGCGTCATCGATGCGGTTGTGGAGCGTGAGCCATCGCGGAGAATCAATTAGCCATAAGAGCGCAGCGACACTGAAGACGATGGAAATGCAGGCCAGGACGGTGAACGGTGTTCGCCACGCCATGGATGAAGGCATCTTCTCACAGCCGTAGCAGGTGAAGAAGCCTACTACGAGGCCCATTGTGACGAGGAGTTGAGGGCCGGTGGTTAGTGGGCCTCGTTGGCTTGGTGGGGAGATTTCGCAGATGTATCTTTTATTGCTTATTAGATATTTGGCTAGGTTTCGGGGAAAAGGATGGGGACGTACACTACCAGGGTCCCCAGGTATAGACCCTCGCCGAGACCCTCGACAACACGGCCAACGATGAACATGGCCAGATGCACTGCACCAGCTTCAAAGGCACATCCGATACCGAAAATAAGGGCACCGATTGCGATACTCTTCGGCCGTCCGATCCAGTCGGCTAGTTTCCCTCCGAAGAACGACGAAAAGGCCGCGGGGATCAGAATTGAGGAGACTACTAGACCATGGACGATGGATGAGAAGGAGCCGAATTTCTGCTTGAATTGGTCCATCACTACCACGGAGCCAATGATGCCGGTGTCCATCCTGCATAGATGTTTGATGGTTAGCCAATTTGTTGTGAAGTTGTGAAGCTACATTTTGCGACAAGCGCAGAAGATACACACCCGAAAAGAAAGCCCCCCATGGAGCATAGAATACTAGCCCAGACATAGCGAGATAGCCCTGGTATCAGCGCCATGTTTATCTGAAGGCCGAGGGGAGTTATATTAGGACTCTGGAAGTATGTTGTAACTAGAAGATAATATTCTTCAGACCCTACTCCCTCATTTATACCATCTTCGTGGGCCCTAAAAATCTGTAGGCGTCGTGATCTACAAACGCAGTCAGCACGATAAAACCGCGATAGGCGAGAATCGGCGGCTCGGAAAGATTACTCTCGGGAAGACTTCCTCGTGGTTAATTGCATGGATCCACTTCCATCGGGTATCATCTATCTGCCCTATGAATTGAGGGGCGCGGGAAGAAGCGTAGTGGAGTGAATAGAAACTGAGTCTAGACTTGTCTCGGGAAAATTTCTTCATTGTGGGAGGGTCTCCCCACTATCTGTACTATGGGATGCGGTGATGATAATCTTGCTATCTGCGTCGAATCATGTCTGCAAGGCCCAATTGCATCAGATGCATCACATTTGCGTTTTTTACCAAATCACAATGTGCCGGCTATCCAAGATACACCGCAAGTACATAGAAAATCACAATTGGAATGGTTTTGGCTATCTCCCACACCGCAATCCCCCATCCGCCCATTGCTTCTGCAACTCCTTCACCCGATACTCTGTCGCCCATCCAGTATCACTCTCCACACGTCGCAACAGATCAACTACTAATCGCCTCTCCTCGTCTCCCTCGAAGCACTGTCCCGCCACGAACAACGGCTGCACCGTATGCGAAAGTATCGCATCCGGCAACCCAGCCAAACTAATCCCACAGATCTCCCGCGCATGATTCACCACCAACCCGGCGATCTGGCGATAATGGCGCAGTCTTGCCGTTACGGTTGACCGAATAGCCGTGGATTCCTGCGGCATATTGCTCAAAAGCAGAATGCGGCCCATGTGGTAGGTCTGGATGGTGACGGCACACATGGGGATGGTGAAGATAATTGCGTCGATTGTATCTACATCTCCGACGCTTTCTGTAGGGGTTGGGTTGCCTTTGTGATATGTCGGTTCAAGATTGGATAGACATAGTTGTGTACGACAGCACGGGGTAAAGGATTCGGGCAAGGTGTCATACCAGGCACTCAGCTCAAACTCTAGTCGCTTCCATCGTTCCAGGAGGTCCTCTTGTGTAGTGCCAAAACATGGACGCTGGCCTGGGGGGCTTTCATAGTCTCCTGGGTAAATTCCGTCACCGCTCGTGATGAAGTTGATAATTTTGCCCATTATCCAAATCAAGCCGTTGCTGAGGGTATCTTCCTCGAGCCAGGTACAGTGCGTTGGGACGGAGGTATGAGGATTCGGAGAGGAGGAAATGGGAGTGTTCACGGTTGTAGGGGAGACAGATGGAGGTAAGAGATGGCCGTGAGTGGAGATGTTAAGGCCAAAGTTGCGCCAGATGACGAGGTCGGAAAGGTCGAGGCGAGTTTGCGTTTCATTGATAACTGTTCCATGATAAGTATCCGATCAAATGTAGGATGCAGTCGATAGAAGTTGTAAATGATTAACCTACATGCAGAAAGACAGTCCTGGCGCACAAGACTCCAAAACACCGAGCGGGATATGTGCAGTAAAGAGTTTGGCAAAGTGGATGTCGAGCTGAAATCATCTGATGTCCCGCAATACAAGAATGGCAGGGCACTTAGATGGGCTCGCCATTCGGTGCTGGGAGCATCGATCAACTCATACATGCATAGAATGGCAACAACAGCGAACATCTCGTCTCGCCGATTGTTCGGAATTTCCAGTCTAATCGCTTCTTTCAAATATCCTATAGCCTCGTCATACAGGCGTACTGATTCATATTTCAGGTCGATCCCTCCATTGGCCCATTTAAGGGCGCTGTTTCGAAGATGGGGTAACCGCAAGATCCGACGAGGTTCTCCCTGGCACATACGGTGCAGATGTTTGGCGGCAAGGGCACATGCAGCAGCCTTCAACATGGGCCGCGTAGCCACGATAACAGGCACCTTGATGGAGTAGTAGGCATTAGTGTCAAAGCAGTCTAACCTGTAAGGACTGTCAGTTCATCGTTCATTCAGTCGAACGGGTAGAGATACCATTGACTAGGACCTTCTTTGAAATGTCGTATTAAGATTGTTGTCAAAACCCCATTCTCTGCAGGCAGGGCGGGACTGTGAATAGAACTCGGAATCACACCATGCTCAGTAACAGGAGTTATCGGTGTACTGACAATTGAGCGATGCTTGTCCAGGAGAAGTATTGGCTCCTCATCGTCAGCGAAAGGGTCTTTGACCTGGATAAAGATGACTGCGGAAATCTTAGCATCTGTCCGATTCACGTTGGCTGATCATCCTTCTGATATTCGGCAATAGACAGAAGAACAGGAGTCTAGCTTACGATCAGATGGTATCTTGACCCATGTTTGTTTCTCATCTGGATCAGCATATCCCCTATCATCGGCAGCAAGGTCGCTGGCGCTGTAGTGACGGAATATGCAGTCGGAGAAGACACAAACACGGGAGGACTTGGCACATGGGCCGCAAATAGGCCTTTCTTCGTTGCATTTCACTTTACGTTGTCTACATGTCACGCTAGATAAAATGTTATGACGATAATCTATGTAGACTGAACGGGAGAAGGGGGAAGGACAGGGCCGGGCTTGGTGTGCACCTTACCAGCCAAAGTGTGAACGCATCTCTGCCCGAAGGCAATCATCAAGCCGGGAAGAATGCTTGATAGATCGATGCGTTGGTGCAGGAGATTAAAGTGTTTGGTAGCGTACGTATACGTAGCGTGGCGGGGCGAAGAAGGAAAATCTAGCGAGATCCGCCAACAGAAAATTTTTTAGGTGGCTCGGAAAGTGGCAACGTTAGCGAGGCCGGCCGTAAGCCATTAGATAGCTTTATGTTCTGCAACCTAATCAACGAATCACAACCATTAATGACAACCTAGTTAAAGTCCTGATAAGAACAGCCCACGGGAAATTTGTGGCTCAAAATAGCCTAAAGTGCTGTCTGATGTTATACCGCGCAGTATGCCCTCCATCCCAAAATAGTTAACTACGCGGCATCCTTGTGAAGGAGCATTGTGCTTTCCGTAATTTCATCGACCCTCTCAGACTTCATAAAGGGTGGTGGCGAGCAATCTGTTATACATGTATCTTTAATCTGATGTCCATCGAACAGTTTATATCACAAAAGGGGGTAGTGATGGTTAGACCGTCGACTTACAACCCTGATATACGGCATGCCAATAAAAGCGATTTTCCGCATATTATACTATGGTTTTGACATTTGAAGGCTCAATAGTACTAATGCTGTTCAGTATCCAAGATATGGCGGGTTTTTGCATCTGATACTGTAGAGGTTGAAGAGCAATCAATGCTGGATCTAAATCAAGCCGGTCAATTTCATAAGTTGATGTGGGCTAAGTGGCATGGCTAGATACGGCACGGAAATGAGCATATGGAGCATTTGGCAGAATAAATACATACGTCTGAGTAAGTGCTTTGTCCACAAGAAAACTATCATTGCGAGTTGAGATTGTGGGCGTTTATTTGAGGACTGCCCCTGTCTGCCCCTTGGTGGAGGGGGTGCATGTGGTGTAAGTATACCGATAGTGAGGTTTGTTCAATTCCAGTGAATTTGTCGAAATGAAGGCTCCTTCTTTCCCCCTAGTTGGATACCGAATATTTTATATACAGAACGCAGCGTTCCATGTGGAACTTTTGAAGCTAACCGACTCCTGCAATACCTGAGAGTCAATGGTAGATTCTCGGTTACGCATGGGAGACCCTTGGAGCGTCCCGGCGGGGATTAGGTTGTAGGCAAGGTTGAACCGGAAATGTAATAGATTCCATAGTTATTGGTATGACTCGATTATACAGATTAAGCCAGGGTGCCCAGAGTGCCTAGGATGGCTCTTATTCCTTGGACAACTATAGTTCGGCAAGTGATTATGAAAGTAAAATTCATTGCTAGAGTGAAGTATACGGCGAAAAACAGAAGATTGGACGAAAGGTAAGAGAAAGGAAAACGACAGGATATTGAGGTTCCTCTAGCATTTCCCGAAATACAAGGGCATAGTTGTCTCTGAACAAATGAGTTCGATACATGTTTCAACCGTGCTGAAGATCTGCGCACCAAAAAAACCAATTTGATTTGTCACGTTCCATGCATGTACATATATCAGGATACAGAGAACGCAGAGTACTAAAAAGTACTAAAATAATGATGATGCCTGATTCTCGAAGTGGGTGTGTGACGGAGTATCCGAACGTGGAAACTACTACCAAGAATGGGTCAATGTAGATCTGGAGATACAGCTGTGCTATAATGTGCCATATAAGTAGGGCTACTCATAGTATTACATGTATAGAAGAGGTGGTCCACATTAACCTCATTCAGAAGCTAGAATAGGCCTTGCTCGGATATAGATCGTCTGATAGTGTGACTTCTGCAGACGAAGTAACCCTCCAACTGCTTTAAGGCTAATTCAACATACCACAAATGGCAGAAGTATCGACCAGCAGGCTTTCAGCTGAGGCCACCAGCTCCGCTGCTTACTGTGTGTATGGATTGGATCTGGGTGATTCATGATCGGCGTCGGAGCGAGTTTGTTTGGGCCAATAATCACCCAACAATTAGCGGATAGGTTGCTTTATGCACGGGCCGCTATGGAGCCGACTTTCGTTTTCTCACCAATTAAGCCTGCTGATGATAGTAAACAGTGCTGCAGGGGTAAGGTCCTCTGGCTGAGGGATCTAGTAAAGAAAAGTAGAGTTGCGAGGGCCGTGTTCAAGACCTACGGATGGTATAGGCCCAACCAAACGCTGCATTTCTGCTTTTATCGTTGTGTATTCCGATCCTGCCTTTTATGTATACACAGTTTGGTGCAGATAATTACCGCTACAGTATATCCTGTATATGAGAAGCCAAGAATATGTTGTCCTCAACCATGAGTTGGGTTAGTCGTATTATGTATCCAAGCACAATTCTCACCTCAGCATGTGCCTACTGCTTATGGAAATCTGATGATCCTTGTATGGCCCTAACCCCTCAGATATTATTAAATTCATTATTTGGCGTAGTTACAGACTATAACTTGGCGATCAATTTGGGGCATAACATGTAGCCCCACTGATCGCTTGTCATCCCCTTTTCCCAATTCCCGAGCTGGGATAGTTGCATTGGGGTGCATTGCGGCGACAGAGGGATTTTCGCATATGATTAATGCCAAATTAGTCCACATACTTGGGACTTCCCAAGGATTCTGAACTTTAAGGGTCTCAATATACTTGACGTGTGCCGTGGATCTGTTTGTTTGTGTTACCCGAGATTGGACAGAGAGAAGGGTTCTAAAGTGGGATAATTGCAACTCTTCCTGAGGAGAGTAAGCATGGGCTACCCTCACTAAACAATAAATACGGCAAGACTCATAGCTATATCTTAGAGTCTGATACTAGATGAACTGTTATAATCCATGCTCCTTGTTCTTCAATATCTTTCACAAATTTCGTCTACGAATCAAACAAGGATCAAACGACCACAATGGCTGAGATGAACCAACATTCTGAGAACGGTCGGGTGAGCTCGTGGTTCTTAGGACCAAAGGCAGAGAACTTTGAGGGCTTCAAGGCACTTATCCTTGATATTGTTACCAAACACGTTGAGGGTCGCAGAAGTCTGGACAACACCGATGCGTCTTTCATCACACGGGAAATGATCGAACATCCCAGTGCTAGGCAAAGCATCACTACTCTAGGTGACAAGCTCACTGAGGTCATGGGCAATTTGGCAAATTCTTCTATTCCATTCTGGTCTACTCTCTACAATGCCCATATGAATATGGATACCACTATGGCCAGTACTTTGGGATGTAAGTTGACCCATAATACGTCAATATTCGCTCAACACCCGCTAATAGACTATGATAAGACATTGCGGCAATGATGTACAATCCAAACAACGTCACCCCGGAGTCGAGCCCCTATACGACGCATATCGAGCATAAAGTCGGCAATCAGCTGTGTAAGATGGTTGGCTATAACGTTGATTGTGGCGACCCTGAAAAGGCTATAGGCTGGGGTCATATTACCTGCGTACTCTCTACCTCTCCTATCTGTAAGATCTAGTAGCTGACAAACCTCAGGATGGCTCTGTTGCAAACCTGGAGGCAACTTGGGCAGGTATGTCGTGGTGAAAATGCCCCGAACTTCCGCTCATAAGTTCACAAACTTCATAGCTCGAAATCTCAAATTCTACCCGCTGTCCCTGAAACTTGCAATGGATGAAGCAACCCGCTCCACTTTTTGACTACGGCTCACCCCCCGTTCGAAGTCCAAGATGCAAATAGACTTCGACGACCTTTCAAGGACCTCGAAGGATGGGACCTTTTGAACCTCCCACCCTCAGAGGTGCTAGATCTACCAACTCGTTTAGCGCGGGAATACGGAATCTCACCAGCCTTCCTTGAGTACGCTCTGAAGAATTGTTTGGTGCAGACGATTGGTATGGAGGCACTAGAGCGGGCGTTCAATATCCAGGAACCAGCAAGGTTCTTCATCAACAGCACACGACATTACTCGTGGCCGAAAGGGGGAGGTAGGCCCACACGTCGTACCCATCATTTCGTCAATATCTAATCACCTCATCCACTAGCAATTACCGGTCTGGGATCCGATCGGTTCGTCAATGGCGTAGTTGACCGCTACGCCAGGATGGACATGGCAGATCTAGAAGCTAAGCTCAAGTACTATTATATGAAGAAGATTCCCGTCTTCGGAGTGATCGCCATGATAGGATCTACGTCACATGGGGCGTGCGACCCGCGAGAGAGAATCATAGAGCTGAGGGAGGTGTACATGAAGAAGGGGTTATCTTTTATTGTACACTGTGATGCTGCCTGGGGTGGGTATTTTGCCTCTACGCTTGAACCCCCTGAGAGTCCAACGCCGGTCACTACTAGTTTAGTCTTGAAGCCCTATACCGTCGCGCAGCTGCGGTCCTTGGGCTCCGCAGATAGCATCACGATTTATCCTCATAATTACGTCGATTTCTTGCAAAGAAAGCTACCATGCTAACTGGGTGGCTAGGTCCGGATACATTCACTACCTGGCAGGAGGCCTGTGTTATCGTGACGAGAGGACGCGGTACCTCATTACTTGGACAAGTCCAATAATCCATCACAATGGCGACGAAAATGACAGTATGGGCATATACGGTGTGGAGGGCAGTAAGCCTGGAGCAGCCCCGGTAGCTGTATGGCTCTATCACGAGACTATTGGTCTCAACTCTGCGGGTTATGGTCTGCTGCTGGGGAAGGCGTTATTTGCCTCCGTAAAAGTGAGTGACATGTCATTCAGTGGGGTTATAATTCTGAGTTAATTTCTGCGTTCTAGCTCTACTGCCATGTCGCTACAATGACCATCGGCGATGACGGTGAAGGGGACGACGATCTCGTCGTCGTGCCGTTCAACATGCTTCCAGCCGAACAGAATGGCACTGTTCCCTGGACATCCAAACCAGTGTTAGAACAAAGAAACTGGATTCGAAACCATATAATAAACCGTTCTAACTCTCATCTTGAATCTGATCCAGATACATTTAAAAGGTTCAAGGAGATCGGAAGTGATTTGATGATCAATTCCTTTGCTTTCAATTTCAGGATGAACGGCGTTCCCAATAAAGACGTGGTCAGGACCTGGATTTCCATACCTCGTCCGCCAACACTGCCTACTGACACAATGTCCACAGAATGAAGCAAACTACTTGAACACGCGAATCTTTCAGCGCCTTTCGATTAGAGCCCGCGACGATACAGAGACCGATGAACGACCCTTAATCCTCACCGAGACCGAAATGTCTCCCAACACATACGGCGACTCCCTGGAAACATACAAAGAACGACTAGGCCTCGGAAAAGAAGCTGTCGGAGACCTAAAGTCCCTCGTCAGCGTAACAATGAGTCCTTGGCCATCTGACCCTGATTTTCTTAAATCCATGACGAATGGCCTCAAGAACATTCCAAAGCAAGAGATTGAGGTAAGTATTCTACGACCCTCTGCCCTCAAAAACAAACCATTGACGATATGCAGCGATGCCGGAAATGTAATATACCAAACCCCGATCACCACGGATTCATCATGCAAGGAGGTATAACCTTCTTCCTTGTCCATCTTCCTATGTTCAACATGGCCAACCATCGCCGCCAGCTCATCCTTGAGGCATCGATTCCCGACCAAGTAATGAAAGAGTATAGGAGACTCCGTGCTGCGTACCCAGACTCAATCTTCACCCTCGGCAATATTGAGAGACAACATCTCAATGACCTTCTCCAAGCAGAACAATTCACTGCTCGCATGGACAGGGGTATACCAAAAATGCAGCCTCCAGCGAATGATCCGACAGGTGAGCCTGTGATGCCGGATCCGTTGGCCCCTCCGTTCACAGTCCATATTACCCGGAAAGTTGTTGACCGGTCGCTTGCATTCGATAATCTTGAGAACAAATATCCCGAGCTCATGCCGTTTTATCTATATGGTTTCTGGGAAAGAACACCATATGGATCATATTCTGACAAAGTCCCCTAACGCCCAGTTGACTGCCGAGTTGGCCATGGTGGACCCGTCGTTAAGCGACGAACGATTGCAGAAAGGCGTGCAAATAAGACTCAATACGGTTTTCGAAGGAGCGCTGCAGCCAATGTAAGAAGTTGACCGTCTTTGAACATTCCTGGACAATCTAACAAGTATAATTTCAGGCCAACCGCGGAAGGGCAAATTGTTGCTAATACCCCAGGCCTCAACTTTCAGCCTGGAACTCGGTACCCGTTCGAGGCGTATGTAGATGGGCAGAGAGTTACCGGTGGGATGCTTACTCTAGGCGCTCGTTTGTATGCTGATAGGCATGAAGTAAATATGGATGGGGCGGATGAGCACTGGGACGTGATAGACGCTGTTCTTGGGGTAAGATTTGTGTCTCTGGCTACATGCGGTCTAGGATGAACCCTGACGTCTTGAGATCTTTCTCCTCTTCCTTTTGTATAAGTTGAAGCACAAACATTGTGTCTTTATGGATTAACACAAAGAAACAAGTGAATTACTTTCGTTCTAGAGGCGTCTGTTATGGTTATAGGAATCAATTCGTTATGTATCATAAAAGATCACCACATCTCAACTAATGTATAGTACAGAAAAGCCAGAACAGAAGAGTGTTCTAGTTATGAGGAATACCACCTGTACCGAACAACTCCATCTTTATCCGGTCATCGCTCACACCATAGGCTTTCAAAGCCTGCTCCATTTGCGTCATGAATGTGTCGGGGCCACAGACGTAATATTCCGTAGCAGGGTTGTCCAGATACAGATGAAACGGCCCGTCGAGCTTCTGCAGGTCAATCCTCCCAGCGTGGTGGTAGTCGACGCCCAGCTGGTCACTGCCAGCTGGCTTGCTGAGGAAGTAGGTCACTTGCATATCAGGGATGTCGTTTTCCAGTTTGCGAACATGGCTCTTGAAGGCGCGAGCATCGGTCGTACGGGATCCGTGAATGAAATGGATCTTGCGTTGCTTCTTCTGAGTGATGGTGTTCAGGATGGACATCATGGGTGTGATACCGACACCGGCGGAGAGAAGAACAATCGGATGGGTAGCTTCAGCAGTGGACAAGAAGAAATCTCCATAGGGATGAGATACATCGATCTGATCACCCTCCTTGATGATGTCATGGAGAATGTTGGAGACGTATCCAGGGTGTCTCTTGGCACCCGGAGCACGAGGATCGAGTCCCGTTTCCTTCTTCACGCTTATGCGATAGTAATCCGAGCGAGGGGTATCACTGAGCGAGTACTGGCGGGCTTGGGGATACTTCAACTCTGGAACCTGAACACTAACTGAGATGTACTGTCCTGGCCTGAAAGGTGGAAGTGGCTTGCCATCAACTGGCTTCAAGTAGAACGAGGTGATCTCGTCCGACTCGGGCGCCTTCTTGGCAACCCGGAACTGGCGCCAGTTGGTCCAGCCATGGCTCTGCTTGTACAGTGCGGCTTCGCGGTTAATCATGATGTCGGCCAGGGCCCAGTATGCGGCACCCCACGCATCGAGAATTTCATCGGTGCAGGCATCTCCAAGCACCTCCTTCATAGCTTCCAAGAGGTACTTGCCGACAATTCTGTACTCGTCAGCTTGGATGTACAGAGATGCATGCTTGTTGCATATTAATTCAACGGCGGGACCAAGGGCCCCGAGATCGTCGATGTGAGATGCATATGCGAACAGTGCACCAGCTAGCGCACGTGCTTGGTGGCCATTGACCTGATTGGCGGTGTTGAACACGGCATTGAGTTCAGGATGCGCTGTCAACATGTTCTTGTAGAAGGCAGTAGTGATTTTGGTGCCATATTCCTGAAGAACAGGGACTGTGGCCGTGATGATTTTGATCTGCTCTGGTGTCAAAGGAGCAGTAGACGACTTGGGCACCGCATCCTTCAGGGATTGTTGTTGCTTTCTGTCATTGAAGGCCTTGTAGATGCAATAGCCAGCCACTGCCGCGACAGCGACTTGCGATGCAATTGTGAGGCGACGGTCCATTGTCTGGGGTTACGGAAGAACTCCGTAGGTGAAACAATGAATGTAAGGGCACAGATGACGATTTGACCTATATCCGTCACACTGTGGCAAAGAAGATGCTCTGCAAGACGGGCACCGGGCCTGGATAAGGATGTGTGAATATTGTGGTATGTCTGTGAAAGAGAAAGAAGGATGAAGCCATCTTATTGCGAGAGATTTCAAAGTTAGACCCACTGGTAGCCCAATTGTAGACCAGGTGGAGATGATATCCTGGTGTCCGGGGCAGACGTCAGAATCGCTGCTAATCGGAGGGATGAAAAATGGGCCGATTCTGATGGGCTGATATGGCCCACTTGCTGTGGGTCAAATGTATGGCGATTGGTGAGTGTTCGGCTAGCTGAAGCTTATTAGGTTATAGTCTTTCCACATCCGTTGACGTGGTGATGCCATCACTATTGGAACATGCCATTTCCTCCGGTTCGACCCACTAGCATCTTGTACACAAAATGTCTCGATGGATACTCGGGTATTCCGAGTTCAGGAGCTGTCCCCCTTCTGAGCTGTGCTCCCAATAGCACTTCTTTTTTTTTTTTTTTTTTTTTTTTTTTTGGCTACAGACTACAGCAATTTTCACGCATTAAGCGTAGCAACACTCAGCTGAGCGACCCTACTACCAAGGGAGGACAATTATAATCACATTGTCAACTAAAATCCATTGGGTCTGGCAATTTCAACAAATTGGAGAATAGCAATCACATTTACGCTCCAGCAACATCAATTACATGATTCGTTGAGTCCCTGAGATCGTGATCTGAGATTTCTTTTAACTCAAAAACCCCTTCTCATGCTGTCCCCACCTTGTCGGTCTGGATCAGTTGGATCTCGAGAGGAGACTCGATCCAAGAAATCACAAAGCTCTGGGTTTTCAGTCCTGGTGGGGTTAGAAGACCTACTGGCTCACCACTCAGCGAGATATGAAACATACGTTTGATCCCATGACTTTTCCCACTCAGCGGGCTCATTACTAGCTTGCTGAGAGTCCTGATCGACGAGGAACTGCAGGCTAGGTGGAACCACAGACGACCGCCGCCGGCCGGAAGGTGCCGGGTTATCCTTATATTCGTCCTCTTCGGACAAGCTCTGTAGGTTTGGGAACATGATGAAACGAGAAATTTCAATTCAAAATGGACGGTGTATGGTTTTAGTATTCAATAGTTTCTTATGTCTGGCTGTATATATGAGAAAATTGGAACTGCGGGAGTCATCTGACGGATGACTTCACTACTCTTCTCTCATCCAAATTAACTTTCTGGGTCACCGCGCATTGGAATGCCAAGCCCAGCAGTTGAATCAATAGGTCTATTTCTATTGAATGATAGCTCTACGTACTTCAATTTACACCAATAGTCATGCTAAGTGGCCTTAGGTTTTGGTTTCCGCTCCAATGTTCTCTTTGCATAGGGTATGCTTTCCCAGGACAAATGAGTTTCCTAAGAGAACAGCCAAACCAATCAGATTTTGGCTGTTCAGAGCATAACGTGGGACGAAAATGTGACAGCAATAACAGAAACAATATATCGAACAAGAACTCCTTGAATAGTAGCGGGATACATCGGATACATCGAAAATGTGCTCTCTAGATTGCATTGCCTATATAGGGGATTTCCAATATGGTGAACAGGATCATTCACATGACGCTCTGAATGTTTCACTCGGATAAATGGTGAACCCGAATACTGTAGTCATTTTGAATTCTATGATTCACTCAAGGAAGGTCTAACAAAGCTATAAAGTCGCGCCTCCAGTGGCTCAACTTAACCATCTACATCTCTCCATGCCTTGGCCAAAACCAATATAGGGTCCTCATTAAAAGGCCTTTTGCCAAAAAGAGCATATACAAAGCACATCTTACTGCCGTCTTAAAACAAACCCTTCTATCTAACCTTGAGTATCTGATTTTTTGGATTGGTTAGTAGCTAAATCTCTTCACATTAATGCTTTATACGTTTAACTCAACTATAGAAGGCTGAATGTGCAAACCTTCTCATTTTGGACATATGACATACTGGTTCCTTCGCCTTGCACTATGATCGGTCGTGAACGAGTAGTTAATTTTTTGTGCGAGAAACGCGACTTCTTGACGCGTCTGCAAGCAGCAGGGTGAGCGTCTATCGGTCGGGACAGCAACTTGCAACCGATATTCCCCACATCAGTAAGGGGATATCAGGCATATGGTACACAGTTACTATCGCTGCAATTAGCAGTTACGAACACTGCCATGACGTGCAGTGCGGATGGCCAGTGAGAATGGACAAAATATGAACCTCTTATGTTTGGCTGGGATTTAGGAAATACAAAAACCATCCAATTATCTATGCCTGATGAAGTATTCATACACTTCAGTGGCATCCACTTCCAACAGCCAGCACCGCCTTATAATACTGCCACATGAGAGGTGACCGACCTCCGGGAACTGGGAGCGCTGGAAGAGGTACTTGACATTATCACTGGGCAGGTTCTGATAAGGGTGCTTGCCAGTCATTATGAAGTAAATGACTGATCCCAGGCTGAAGATGTCATCTGAGAACCGGAGAACATACCCCTCAACACGTGGATCACGATAGCGGGTGCCGGGAAGAGCAGAGCCAGGTGCACCGAAAACAGAGGAGCCAGCGAAATCCGAGACCTTCAAGTCCAGGTTCGAGTCGGAAATTGTGAGGCGATAGATCGGAATGAATGATATTATGATGGTGAAGCAATTGAACACCTTCGGCTGCCTGTCTTGCCCATTTGCTTCTCATAGTATCAGTTATCGATTGGTGATTCCTTCCTATGAAATCCGCAATGCTCCCGTTCTCGACATACTCCATCGTCAAGCAACAGGTGGTTGGGTCCCAATCCATCAATTTTGGTACGCGCGGATGATCTTGGAGAATCTCATAGATAATGGCCTCGATATGCATACTTTTCCTATGGCGCTCATGTTCGCGTTGAGAGTATGGGTTCGGCAGCGGCGTCTTGACCACTTTTCCTGAGGGCATACGTTCTAGGACCGCAGTTCCTCCCCAGGCTAGGAATTGGCCCTTCACATGAAAAACGATGTCTCCGAAGTTGGGAACAAAATTGAGACCCTCCAGACTGGGGGGGATAAACCTGTAATGCAGGGCTTCTGGATACCCTGGCGCTTGAGAAGGTCCATTTTCCATGGTCTGGGCATTGCGAAGTTAGAAGTAGCTTCCAATCGATCGGGTTATACCAATACAAGAAGGCACACGTGTACTGACTCTTTCCTCTTCCATGGTGTTTTCACTAGTTCTCTGGGATTGATCCACTTAACTTGCTGTCTTAAAAACCTTCAGCAGTACGTTAATGCGTTGAGAGTTGACGGTGAAACCTCACTGCCATAGAAATCACAAGAGATAGTACTCTCGACGGTGCGAGAACCAGAGCAAAAGAACGCTACGAAGGGAAAGTCTACACAGAAATAAACTAACACATTATTAACTACTTCCCGGATAGCCATCATGCTCTCATACTTCTGGTGTTAGGTCTAGCGTGAAGGCGATCACGAACGGACGAAGGGTATACATTATTCCGCGCTATTCACTTAATATAACCAGCTCGCGCTATTACAGCAGTTGTGATTTATTTGAATTATGGAATCTTGTTCCTGCATACTGTGTTCATCTGTTTCCACACAGAATATGCCTGCCAAAGACATAATCATCAAGGACCAAGAAACTGACTCCACGATACCCCAAAATGGGATTCGGCATATGAGACATTCTATTATAGGTGAGTACTAGGGCTAACTGTCAGGAGAGGTACGCAATATACTGATTAATATCACCCCGGCGAGCAACCAGTCTCTACTTCATCTGTCTATCCTCCAGTACATGCTTGACGGCTCTATTTCCCGACAGCCACATTTCATACAACGGCAGTACATCGGCACTTGGAGAATCGATTGTATTTCCATAATTAGGGTGAATACGGCGAGCAAGGGATCATGGGTTCATAACCACTTATACCTGGCAGGACGGGACGGGACATGTCGGTGCCACAGATCATGATCGCTGGAATTGAAGCCATGTATCAGAGATGCAGCTAGGGTTGAGCCTCTTGTGGAGCTGCAGGCACTCATAGTTTGCCGTTCGCTTTCAAGGGATGCCATGTTTAACATGGGTATATCAAAGACAGTGCCGTCTGCAGCAGGAATCTTCCAACAATGCGCCGGGGCACGCAGGTCTAGTTGACAAGTCTGTCTGCTGAGACATACCTCTCCATTGGCTGATCGGATAGACGCGATATATCGTTTTCTGTCTAGCAGTCAGCGCGTCGACACCCTGTGTGATGATTTCAATGCCTTGGATCATTCTCCTTCAAACGAACTGGTATAGATTATGTATTGCTCCGGCTGTTGCCTTTCAAGTCCTCACGATGCAGGCAGGCTGTGTCCTGACAATGTCATGGCATTTTCCAAATCGTTATCTGCTGTTAGCATAGTGAGAAAGCCCCAGGTGTGCATAAATACCATGCAAGCACCACTCTTCGTTTGAAGGAACATATCCACTTCAAAATCTGCGAAGCTCATTGATAGCTACCATTTTAAGTATTGCCATTACAAGTGCTCCTCATCAACGTAAGTGCCACATCTATCCATGAAGTCATGTCAGGACTAACCAGATCATACACAGCACGGCTTCTCTTTCCCCATATCAACATGTGTGAGCGATTCGTCAACACAACCAAGTATGTCAATTGCACTGCACAGCCGAAGCATACAATTACCACTTATGATCCTCGGCCTCCTTGTGGCAAGCCAAACTGCGGGGGGTATAAGGATGTGCACATGGGAATCGTAACCAAGAGATTCGGAATCTGTCCGAAGTGTTGATAATGGATTCATGGAGTTTCGTCAACTCTGAGGCTTTGCCTTCTGGTAGCAACCAAGGTAAATGAAAACTTCTGATCATGCGACAGCATTGCCGTACGAAGTGGAATTATTGAGCTTTCAAATCAAAATCGTATTTGTGAATTGCAATCTATCTATTGTCCTAATGTTCAGTACCAGCATCCTTTGACATCTGAATCTGAGAAAGGTCAAAGATTATCTCATCAGCAGCCTCGTACAACTGCCTCCAACACTTATTTGTAACATGAGAGCATGCATGGATATCAGTAGGAAATTGGCCATTTTTATAACGTTCTTCAATCTCCTCATCATGTTCCCAGTCATTCAATTCCGGAAACGGTTCATGTCCCATCATGATATGGTAAAATAGAGATCCCAGTGCAAACATATCCGTCTTGGCATTTACAATGTCACCGTGAACGCGAGGCATGTATGCTTTCGAATTTTCTCGAGACTCCCCATCTAGCAGTTTTTCGCCATTCTCCGACTTCAAAACACCCTGAAAGTCTGCAAGTAAGACGTCAAAGTTATCATCCAGCAGTAGATTGCGGACATTGATGTCACAGTGGATAACTCTTTTCTGGTGTATGTATTTGACGGCTTCCGCAGCTTGTTTACACCAGCGGAGCTTTTGGTCGAAGGAAATATTATGACCCGTTGTGAACCGATCGCAAACGTTGCCGTTCCTTGCATACTGTAGGACTAAGCCATGCTCATTGAGACCTTTCGAGGCGATGATCCGTGGGTGGCTGCCGACGAGATTGAGAAGCTCCGCCTCTACCTCGATACCTACACGATCGCCAGGTATGTATGGGTACTTGAGAACGGTTGATTCATTGAGCAGGCCGATAAAATGTCGACCACTGCGGCCAATGATCTGGGACACGCCAGGAGGATAATACGGACGAACAATTCTCACTTCGACGTTTGGAGGGTGATCGGGAATTTCATATGCAGCAGCTGGGATAGCCTATGAACATTAGAGGGGGTCCTAGCAAGGGGTATTCGCTACTGGGACCTACATCCTTGGGGCTCAAAGACGAAGATGATTCCATTTCTTCGATAACAAATGTGCCAGGTTTCCAGCTAGGCAGAAGGTTGTAGAGAAAGATAAACACAGCATCTAGCGGAGACCAAATTGATCGTAGTGTGGTCAGCATCGAGGTGAAAGCCTCTGCATAAGGGTGAGCAATATCGGAGGATTTGAGATTCACCCGGGTTGTTTAGCCAGCCAGTTGCCTAGCCCGTCTATTCAAAAATGTTCGATGATCTGCGACTTTCTTAAGTTCGCTGCGCTTGGAGGAAGACGAGGAAAATGGAGACAAGTTGGCCCCTTTTTATTGACTGCTTACATAGCAAGGTTACACCTTTTTAAAAAAGTTACTTTTGGACATCTAGCGCTTATCGTGTCGGTCCAAAGGCGCGAATGGTAAACTCCACTACGTAATAAAGATTGTCGATAGATTCACGGAGATTGCTCTCAGTAGGGTACATTAATGGTACGGAACCTGACGAGATGATGTCAATCGTGAATAACTCTTCGTTGCGTAAGACAAAGCCACAGAGTACTCTTTATTCATTCCAATAAGCCAGGGACTTTCCCAGTTCTGTGTCAAACAATCACCTTAGCCGTCCCGGACAAAGCTTCGGCATAGTTCTGAAACTGAAGAACTTTTGGCGTGAACTACAATTTAGAAGCCTTGTTCTGCGGAAAACCTAGATGAAAAGAGATTGCCGTTGAATTGTGTCCCTTAATCCTCGTGCAACACCCTATAACAGGAACCTTCCAGAAGATGACGTAGACAAGGGATGTTATTCCCGAAACCCATGCAAAGATACTGGTGATACTCGTTGCAGCTATTCATTCTTGAGGGTTTTAGTTGAGCAATGGAATAATTGGAGTCGAATAGTACGTGAACTTTATGTAAATACCGCATGCTAGGTCAGGTTCTCTTGTCAGCATCGCTTTGAAGCGACTTCAATCACTTTCTGACTTACAGTTCTCCTTATACGAAGACTTCATGAACCAGCCCAAGATGCAAGCCCAGCTTTCTCACTTACCTTCAGAGATTATCCACTATATCATCGAGGACCTAGATTTCAAGGTTCTTTGTTGTCTTCGCTTGACGAACAGGAGGCTTGATGGATTTGCTCGTGGTTATCTACTCAAAATTGCAAAGGAAATTGCTTTTCCAATACAGGAATACTACGATATGGCAAACGTCAAACTCATACCAGACAATACTGTAAGCCATGAATACGAAGGGTTCGTAGATATACCTCACCGCTTACGCGAAGGTCACGACAGGGACCTGGAGGTTTTTGCGGATTTAGTCAACGGGGGCGCTTATCATTCAGTTAAGCTGTTTCTGGATGCAGGTGTCTTTGCTAATGCGTTTGACCTATGCGGTCGCACGATGCTGCACCTTTGTGTTCGCAATGGCGATGTGGAGCTCGCAAACCTGCTGCTAGATAGAGGCGCAGATCCCTATCGCACCATGCGTTATGGGTTCAGTCCAATGCACTTTCTTCGTTTTGCTCCCCCCAAGTCTCAGGAAGCACTTGCATGGTTACTTCTTGACAAAGGGTATAAAGTTCCGGATAATGTCGGGTGGCTTTTTCGGAGCATTTGCCAGGCGAGTTGTGCTCTGAAGCTTATCCGGTACATGGTTGAGGAGGATTTGATAGACATCAACAAATCCATGGACCTTAAGGGAAAGCGTTGCACGGCTCTTCATATTGCTGCAGAGTTTGCAAACAGTACTGACATTCTAGAATATCTTCTGAGTGTCAAACCAAGTCTTTTGAACAAGTACGGGACCAGTTTGCAACGCACGGCCTACGGTTACGAATGCGTTGAGTCACGTCCCAGTAATGCAGTTTACCTTCTCAACAAAGGCATTAATTCTCTGCCTGAAGATGTCGAGCCTACAGTTGCTGCTATAATTAGGCTTGAGAGTGCTGTGAGCCTTAACCGTCTGGATGTTATCCGAGCGTTGTTAGCCCGCGGTGAACTCTGGGGTTGGGGTGATGAAACCTGGGAGCATAACGTGGTCCTCCAACTCGAACCGCTTGAGTCTGCTATCGAAAATCAATATTTGACAGCCATGGAGCTCTTGCTCGAGAATCGCCAGTTTCCATATGACCAGGTTCTCATTGACAAGTGTGAAAAGCTGGCCTCCGCATGGGGATGCCTAGAAGGATCACGTTTACTTCAAGCGAAGCAAATCTTACAAAAGTTGAAGCAAGCTATGGGTGTTCAGTAGCGTCACAATGGGGTTTTCCCTTCCGACTTTCCCATTGGGACAACTTCAAATTATAAAGTCTTCTATACTTTCTCACTTTGCCATTTCTTCCAAGAACTGTTATGAATGCTTTGGTAGGGACGATCTAGTCTTACCTTTGGCTCTAGAGAATCTTTGTGTCGATTCATTTCCAAATATATGCTCAGAGTGTTCCCGCAAGACGTCGGCTTCTGTATAACTTCCCGATGCTCTGTATGGTGCCGCCCTCTTTTACAGTAAGGCTCTTTACCTTACAAAGGCTACCTCCCAAACCCGAAAATGTATGATTTTAACCGAATACAGATACCTCCTCTCCCTTACACCAATCAGAATAGCAAAGTTCAAAGTACGTATAATATCACCTTCGCTCCACATTTGCCCCCGCTTTGAATATCTCAATTAGAGCCCCAATGAAAGATTGTGTATAATAGTTTATCTACCTATCCGACAATATGACAATATTAGACCTCCTGCATGCCTATATAATCCAGTAATGGTCCAATATGGTTGCTTTCACTGCCCGACAGGCGAGAGGTTGTATGAAGACCATGCTACTCGATCATTAACAAGGGTGGTAGGCATTTATCCATTGATTAATGTGTAGCAAAAGTGACGACTTCGTGTGTTTGACCATCCGTCCAAGACGTCGATGTCAACAAATTTGCATATGTATTTCGGGATCTCCTACATTTTTATAATGATGAAGATAGACTAGATAGCTTATCCGAGCCAATGAAAGTTGGAGTTGCGAGTGCCGCGTGCAGAGCATCAAGAAGCGGACACCAACTGAGAACCATCGAATAAATCCATGGGAGCGTATGGGACTTGTCGGTACTATAGACGCCGAATCACTGTATTGCACGCAAACATAGTTTTAACGAACTCCTAGTGCCGAGCCACTATCCTGCTTGGCCATGCACTCTATCGGCATTCTGACATTAGACCGATATAGGCCTCCCAATATACTTTTTCGGCCAGGGTTTGTGCCTTGCTACCTGAGTGTACACTCTCAGAGTATTCAATGACCTAGTTTTCTCGGTTAGTTGCTAGAGATGCGGAGAACCTATTCCCGTTGTCCCCTCAATCTGGGGTACCCCGTGGGGTAGAAACGACGTAGCGCTGTACCCCTCTTTCGAGGTGACGAAGATACTATTTAAATGTCTCTCTAGAAGCAAGTTGTCTTCACACTGCCAATATCTGAGAGATCTTCTGAATTCCCTTTGAACTCCTTCTCCATATAGCGTTAACTCTTCGAGTTGTCGAACGCTACAAAATGGCTCGGAACCGTGCAAACCCTGGCCCGGAGAAGCCAGTCGACGACAAAGTTGAGAGTGAATTATGTCAACTAGAAGCTGCAGATGATACGCAGTTCTACAACGTTGACCCCGAAATCGAGAGGAAGGTCGTTCGAAAACTTGACTGCGTGATTCTGCCTCTGATGGTGCTCGTATATTTCTTCCAATGTCAGCCAATATCCTGGTACTCATTTTCCTTCGAGTCTAATTTGTTTATCTAGACCTCGAAAAGCAGACAATTAACCAAGCCGCGGTGTTTGGTCTACGAAGTGACCTTAAGCTAACAGGTCAAGAGTTCTCATGGGCTGTCTCGTTATTCTATCTGGGCCAGCTTTGTTCAGAATACCCAGCTGCGATCATGCTCTCCAGATTTCCGATCACAATCTACGTCGGAGTAACTATCGTGATATGGGGTGGGGTAAATATGTGTCTGGCTGCTGTTCACAACTTCGCGGGACTGGCAGCGGTGCGATTCTTCTTAGGGTTCTCCGAAGGCAAGACTCACTTCATATACCCTTCCGCTTCCAAGACTAACTATCCCACTAGGAACCGTCTCGCCAGCTTTCATTATTATCACGAGTGTCTGGTACAAGCGCAAGGAACATCCGATTCGCGTCGCTACATGGGTATCAATGAACGGTATAGCCGATATTATAGGTGCCCTCATGATGTATGGTATCGGAAAGGGACACATGTCACTTGCCCCGTGGCGTTCCCTCTTCCTGATATGTGGAGGTTTAACCTCCGCGACTGGCCTCTTATTCATCTTCTTGATGCCCCGAGATACGACAACGGCTTGGTTCCTGAGTCCACAGGAACGAGAAGTGGCAACTCAGCGCATGGCGATCGATCGCGCTACCCGAGACCATGCAGTGTTCAGCAAAGCTCAACTCAAGGAGGCACTCTTGTCGCCGATGACTTGGATCTATTGCCTGATGGGAATATGTATCACCGTGACGACCCCCATAATGAAGGTATGCCAGCCCTCCTCATCTGGAATACGTCGGTCAGGTATTAACCCACACCCTTCCCACTCCATAGTACAGCTCCACCGTCATACACGGCTTCGGCTACTCAACATACAAAACGATGCTCGTCGGAACACCTGCCGGAGCTTTCAACTTCATTACCGTCTGGATCGGCGCCATCATCCCTCGCGTTATACCCGGAACACGAGTCTACACCGCCATCGGTCTCTCCATCGTCCCGCTCCTAGGATCAATATTGCTCATGACGCTTCCATATTCCGGCGGTGCAGACTGGGGAATTGTGGTAGCGACCTGGCTCGGAGGATGCAGCTCTTCCTTGATAAGTAGCGCTGCCAGCATTATCGCGAGTAATGTGAAGGGTAACACGAAAAAAGTATCGTATCAACTGCTTTCTTCGTTGCATATTGTGTTGGATGCATTGTTAGTCCGCAGGCTTGGACAGAGGATGATGCTCCTAGGTATACGAAGGGTTGTATTCTGAGTATTGCGGTCATGGCTTGCTTAATCCTTACATTTCTCGTTTATGTGTTCATGGTGAAGAGGTTGAACAGGAGGCGTGATCGCAAAGCGAGCGAGGGGTACTTTGAGTATATCGTTGATAGGGGCGATGGGAGTGGCCGTATGGGGGTTGCTGTGGATTCGGATCATACGGATGTTGAGGACAAGGCTTTTAGGTACACTATTTGATGCTTTGCTGTTTTCAGTGGATTATGATCGATTTAGATAGCTTACCAATATGCTCTAAATATATGGAGCTGATGTAGAGTCTCCAGATATTGGCCTAGATTCGAATTCTCCGTCTTTTTATTGATTATACTAGAAAGTACCTAAAGAAATTTATAAGATAAGCAGGGATATCTGGATTAAGTTCTAATGTAGAGCTACTGTAAAATTAAGCAAACACAAAGGCGTCCGGAAATTGACTTGTCTACAGTATTAGCCGTTCTAAGCAATGCTCACATTCCGGCGACAATGGCTTGCAGGTGTCCTACTAATATTAACAGTGTTATGTACCAGCCTGAATAAGTCTTCGGTACAGTCGTTCGAGCTTAAGGTATAAGATTCGCCAGTCACTAAATTACGGAGTGGTGATGAGGTGGGAGACATTAGATCATTCAGTTCGATCGATGGACGGAAGGTGGGGGCTTGGCAAATTGATCCTATATATATTCCGGTAGGTAGCAGTAGCAGTAGTACTAGTAGCCCTATATTGTTGATAGAAACAACTTCAACAATGATGTCTTGACTTCTATAGTATAGATGAATTATTACTTGCAATCAATAAATGTTTATGATTAATTCTGGGATAAAATGCGAGAGTCAGGTGCCAAATGCGAAAAGAGACTAAACTAAATGGGGTTCGGAATAACGGATAAACTCACGTGCGATAAATCCGACCGCTCGGGGCTCCAACAGTCCATGACGCAGGAACATCAGGAAAAATGAATCCGAGAAGCAACACGGCCTTGCAACGGATTTTATGAGTATAACGGGGCCTCTTATCGCCCTAATTTGCTGGCCGGCTACAAATGGCAGACGCCATATCCCCAGCGCAGCCTTCAGGCTGGCGGATCCCCAAGGCGTGCCAAGAGTGCAGGAAGAGGAAGATCAAATGCAATGGTGTCAATCCGTGCAAAACCTGCGAACTGCGCCATACTCCATGTATCTATCGCGAAGTTATTCGAGAGCGCAAGAAGAAGCACCAATATACAGATGCTCCCGCGAATGATGAGTACATCTCCAATGGGGCTACGCGGGCCGACTACGGCACACGGCAGCAGTCTCCTGGGGTGATGCAGCCAGCCCGACGGAGAAATCCCTCCGTCAGCTTGACCTTCAACAACAGCGTTTCCGCTACGCATATGGCATCGCCATCGTGCAAAGTCCAGCTATACTATGGCTCGACTTCTCACTTTGCACTCATGCACGAAGTCTACCGGGGCCTGGTTTCCGGCAACCAATCTGCGGAGACGGAGGAGCCACAGGGCGAAGTTGAAGAAGCCGGAGCTGGCTTGGACATGTTTAGCTTCCGTCGGATTTTCTTCGGAACCCAGGCTGAGTCGCATGATTCGAACAAGACCCTAAATGGACCCGATGCAAATGTGCTGTTTCTACCCTACGACTTGGCCAAGGTCTTTCTGGAACGCTTTTTGGCAACGTTGTATCACCTCGTGCCGTTTTGGTCTAAGGAAGTCTTCTATCAACAACTCGATCATTTGTATCGTCCAACACCAGATTCGCGCTCAGATAAATGGGCGCGATCACTACTTTTGCTGGGGTTAGCCACCGGCTCGCTAGGCACACAGCACCATAGCTGGGGAGATATCCTATACGAGCGTGTAAAGGCGTCTATCTCTTCTCTTGACGACGTGGTGAACCTTCAGACTGTACAACTGTCACTATTCATGATAAGTAAACGCCTGTTCAGAATTCAAACAACACAATACTGACCTTCTGGCCAGCACGCCCATTTTCAGAATGAGCAAGGAAGACCTAACTCCGCATTTCTCCTAATGGGCGCAGCTGCCCGAAAGGCCATTTCTGCCGGTCTACACAAAGAAGCACCCGCCGAGAGTGATGATGCTGATAGTGTTGAGGAACGACGATGCACGTTCTGGTCATTGTACTTCTACGAAGTGTCGGTTACTCCTGAGTTTATCATTATGTGGTATACTGATTCTTTGAACAGCTGGACTTGTTTCCATCTTGGACGACCGAGATCCCTATCTGCAAAAGATATCGGAATTGCACTACCAAAGGACCCCTTCTTGCAGGTGCTAGTCCACCTATCGAAAATATTCTCCCGATCAGCCGATGAGATGTACGGCCGACGACATGAATCATTACTGCAGATGTGGAAGATTGCTAAATCAATTACCGATGACATGCGATGTTACGACTCGAAAATGCAACATGCACTAGGGTTTGGGCTTGATAAGCCGGTTCAGCCGGGGACCTTGGGCGTACGGCAGACTGTTCTAATAACTCGTATGTTCTGAAATTATCTGGGACCTGGGATCTAAGCTGACGGTTCAGTCTATTATCATACCATTCTATTGACCTTTCGACCATTCTTGATCTTTCGAGGTCGGTGGCAGCACCAAATGAAGATATCCTCGCAACAGCCAGGGAACAGCACGGCCAAGGGACCAACAGAAATCCCCACATGGCTGAATGAAGCCTGTAATCAAGCTCTCAGTGCCGCTTGCAGGACTATCCATCATTTATACGAAGCTTCCATATACAATGAACTGGTTCGGGTGAGTCTTGACGCAGTCCATCTGCCGAATAGAAAGGGTTGCTGATGACGCTCCAGGAACTCCGCTACCACGGATATTTTCTGGGCAGCTCTAGCTTCGCCCTAATTTATGATCTAATGCATGGAGAAAATTTGGCATCCACCCACCTTCCTTGGATACACGCCGCCTTGCAAGGTCTTTCATCGATGCGACATGGAGAACCGATTACCAGCTCCATGTCTGCTATACAAACCGTCCTGAGAAAACTTAACCCATCGTATGAATGGTCGCCAGGTGCAATGCTAAAAGGGAATTCCTATAACATTGACCAAGCTAGTGCTGTGCGACGCTACCCCAGCAGCGTCGCTCATCAGCCCCAAGGTCCAATTCCCGACACTTTGCAGTCAGACCTAGCCGGGGGAGGTCTTTCTATGCTATCTGATTTTCAAGGTAACTCCTTGCAGGATGGCCTACGCATGCCAAGTGGTAGCCTGGGTAGTGGAGAGGACCTGCTCGACTTTACCCAGTCCGATATGGGTTGGGACTTTGACTTCTCAACAATGGACCTTGAGGCTTTCTTTTCTATCAATCCGACTCTAGACCCTCCGTTGTTCCAGTAACTGAGTTCCATTGGTCATGGTCTTGCACGACACTCGCCCAACGGAATCAGAGGGCTCTTATATGGGGACAATTGGGCGCCATTACGTTCATACGATCAGATGGCATCTGACTGGGTCTGACTGATCATTGTCTGCAAGGTTACACCACCAGCTATGTGTGGGCGGGTGGGTCTAGAACTTGGACTTGGGCCATTGATCTTGACGAGGACAGAGTAAGCACACGGGCCTATTGCTCTACACGAGCCTAGATCTGACTGGCTGCTGGCATGTGTCCCTTGCAGGGCGCGATCCCGAATACGAGCTTTAAAACAGTGATACCCCATGTATGCGCCGTCAGATTAACGAGCGGTTTCGACGCCTTTAGCTACCTTAATACATATAACAGTGAGACTTTCCTGAGACAAAATCATTAGCACTTGCTCTGCCTAGTAGTCTCAGGGTTGTTCGGCAGTGGGGAGGAGATCTAGACCGTTGAGACGACTCTGGATGAATGTGACAACGACCGCCACGTGACTGGATGAATCATGCCCCAAGTCGATGAGTAATGACCACCGATCTTTTCCCTTTGTGGATTCCTGAGGGTCCCTGCAGTAGCTTCATGAGCTGGAGTCGTACATACTCGTGGCATCTTCCATCTTATCTTAATTACTTTTGCGTGCAGACTTCCAAAAGAGTAATAGTATTTGACATGGCTTAGACTTTGATAATTGAGTGGACGGATCGACTAAGGAGGGGGCTCTGCCACCTAAGTAACTTTTAAGCTTCCGGCCACATCCTGCTTACTCTACGAGTAAGTTTCCGCCCAATGGTATACGGGAAGAGTGAAGAAAGCATTACCCACACGATAGTGCTAGGAAAACTGCCGATTGTCTTTCCGCTGTGTCAAGATGGACAACACACTGTGAGATCTTACGAGCCCGATCAAGGTCTCCAACGACGGCAAGACCTTGCCAGGGCATGTCCAGGTCTGTTCCTGCCTCAGGCAAACACGATCCGAAAGCGGCGCCGGGAAAAGTAACTCCGGACGAATCGCGGCGCGTCACGCGCAAGTCTATAGAGTTGGGTTACATCAATGACCCGTTCACCTTTGCCTTCATCCCACTCTCCTCCTATTCATTGATCTCGGCAAGGCAGTGTTTATGCATCGTCAAAACATCCTTTCTCAATCGAATCTTCTCGTTTCCACCATCAGTGGGCGGTGTTTCCCGCTGTTTTCCCTATACCTAAGCGAGGGAATCGTCGGAGCCGACGACACGGCCGTATGTGAAGCTATTCGGCCGATGTCTGTACGGGCGAGCTGGGACAGCCGAACCATGGAACACGCCACGGTCGTACCCGGAATTCGGCAGGGCCGGTCATGCAGAGCCTTGCGATGATCCCCTTATCCGGGGTCGGGGCCATCAGCCGGCGGGGTCGCCCATCGCTACGGTGCACTAAGAAAATCGTGCACATCAAGCCCGTGGCCTAGACCTGCATGCATACCGCTTGGCCGGCTCTCGTCAGCTCTAGCACCCTCTTTGCAAGCATCTGTTGCAAAACCGGTGGCGCCCGGATGATAAAACCTTAAAGCCTCTGACTAACTCTGCCGTGGCTAGAGATCTGGGAATATATCTGGTGCTTGTTCTTTCCGTTAATTGTACCATCTCCTGGCCCTGAACAAATATCCGCGGCCATTTGCAATGTCCTAGGCGATCATCCAAACGCTGTGGGTTCGGCAGCTCTTAGTCCCCTGCAGCTGCCCCGGATGACTGCGGAACTTCTCAGGTACGACTTCACGCTAAGCATCCATCCCATCAGCATTGGCTGCTGTGTCTTGTAGAAGCACTGCTCACTGATCGATCATGGCAACAGGTTTTACAGCTCCCATGCTCCGGATCAAGCCAACGGGCTGCTGCACAAAGTCTTCCCAGGCTCGATCGTCAATGGACATAACCACTCCACGATGGCTACCCCAGCCTCAGATCCCGCGTTGGTGGCTCTTGCACAATTAGGGACCTACCGCATAGGGTGTACTATCGCCTTTGTTTCGCTGGTCGATAACTCAGAGACGTATATTATCGCCGAAGCCACGCCGTCGGGCTCACGCTGCGGGAACAAGACATCCGTGAACGGTAATACGATAGGTATGAGCACTCTAGGTCTGGGCAAAAATGCAATTCAGGCCACCCGTTCTTCGAACATCATCAGTGATGGCCTCAGTACCATCATTCGTGATGTTAGTATGGAAGCAAATCTGGCGTCTCATCCTTTCGTGGAACGATTTCGGCCCAGGCTATACGCGGAGGTTCCATTGACTGCATCCTGTGGAGAAGTAATTGGAACATATTGTGTTGTGAACAATAAGCCTTGCCATCATTTTGCCGCAGGTGAATTGGCCGAACTGCAAGATATTGCCAACGCCGTTGCGAGTCACCTTGAGAATGTCGGGGCAATACGGCGTTATCGTCAAAACGACCGTTTGCTGGGTGGGCTCATGAAGTTCGTCAAAGGCCAGTCGCCAACTGAGAACGACGGATGGAAGAGCCGAAGGAAAAGTACGGCGGCGGCTAGTCTTGTATCGCCCCGTTCATCGGAAGTGCCAAATTCGCCTCGTTCATCTGATGTCCCAGAGATCGACCGCCTCTCCGTGTCAACAACTGATCATCGCGATGTCTCACCATCTTCCACGCGACATCCGCCACCACAACCTCCAGAACCCCCTTTCTTCCAGATACCAGCCTTTGGAACTAATAATTCAGTGCCAAATGGGATACATCAGCGACATGTGAGGAAAAGCTCCGATGAAACGAGCAACCTCGTCATGGTACCAGAAAGCACTCCCATTTCTGACAAAGCTTCGATACTCTTTTCTCGTGCAAGTGGGCTACTGCAGGAATGTATGGATTTAGATGGGGTTCTCTTTGTGGACGCGTCACGCAGCAACACTCGGGGGTAAGTGTTATGACACTTCTATCAAGTGCTATTTAATGTCGCTAACGGTGACACAGTGAATCGACCGCCAGTGTTGGGGAGTGGGACAAGGAAAGTGACTCCGGGTTTTCTCTCCGCTCACCTAGTGTATCGTCCTATGGTGGCTGGTCTGAAAAGCAGTGTGAACCTCTTGGGGTAGCCTCGTCTGAGCGTGCCCTTGGAAACACCGCCAGCATGTTTAGAATTCCTTTGACAGAAGGTCTGCTACATGACATGTTCACTGCCTTTCCGCAAGGCGAAATAATCCACCCACATCTGGCTTCCGGCTGGCCAGCCCTGAGTTCGTTGCATCAGCGCAGGCAAAGTATACAAAGCAACCAGGGTGAGATCCCTCTGCGGCACTCTATCAGCACCCGATTGGCACACAATTATCCGGAGGCCAAGTCTATGATCTTTCTTCCGTTGTGGAACTGGAACAAATCTCGCTGGCTTGCAGGAACACTTGTTTGGACCTGCGATGACCAGCGGCAGCTCGGCAAGGATGATCTGCACTTTCTCAGGTCCTTCGGGGATACAATTGTTTCTGGGTTCTGCCAGATAGAATGGACGGCTACAGAGAAGTCAAAGTCAGACTTGCTGGCATCGGTTAGTCATGAGCTTCGCTCCCCGTTGCATGGCATGCTTGCCAGCACAGAGCTTCTGCAAACTACGTCTTTGGACACCGCTCAACAAGACATGGTCGCCATGGTAGAAACATGTGGTCTCACGCTATTGGACACGATGAATCACCTGTAAGCTCGCCTCCTTCCGTTATATGATGTTTACTAATTCCCGGCAGGCTCGAATTTACGAAAATCAATAACCTGACCCATCTGCGCAAAAGAGGCGGTTCAAATGGTGAAGTGATGGATAATCTGTTGACCGAATTTGACTTGGACGAAATTGTGGAAGACGTGACTGATGCCTTGTACGCAGGCCACCGGTCTCTCATCAAGGCTGCGAAGGTGGCCAGTCGCTACCTACCAGGTGGATCTGCCGTAGGTAACAGGCCTGCTGGTACACCACAATCGCAAACCGATGATCTGTCGGTGATCGTTCGAATTGAAGACTTGGGCTCATGGCACCTGCAGTCACTCTCTGGTGCATGGAGGCGGATCATCATGAACATCCTGGGGAATGCATTCAAATTCACGAGAAGCGGCTTCATTGAAGTTTCCCTGGCGAAGAAGGTGGAAAGGTCCGGCTACACGAAGAAGACTCTAGCACACCTGTCAATCACGGATACTGGCTGTGGGATCTCGCCAGACTTCCTGGAACACCACCTCTTCAAACCATTTGCGCAGGAGAGCATTTTGACAGAGGGTGTTGGATTGGGTCTGAGTGTAGTGAAACAGCTGGTGACATACCTGGGCGGCGAAGTGGAAGTAAAGAGTGATGTAGGGGCTGGTACGCAAATGGACGTGTACATTCCGGTGGAGTTCGTGGAAGACTCCTCCGCAATGGATTGTGGTGCCCCGGGAACGCGGACAATGACCCGGGTGTCTTTGGTGAGCCTCAATGCATACGCAGACCTCAAAGAAGCACCAAGTGGTCTTTTGAGCACAGAAGCGAAGCGTAAGCTGTCGCTAAGAGGTGCACTCAGCAATGTGTTACTGAGCCAGCCTGGGTGGATGGTATCTTTCGCCGATCACCTAGACAAGGCATCCGGAGACATTGCCGTCATCGAGGAATCTACGTTAAAAGCCCTCTCGGAAAGGGGGTTCATCGACGTGAATTTCAAGGCTGTTGTGGTCATTGGCGAACAAGGCATCACACTCCCCGGAGATTTTGCCATCAAAGGAGCTGATGTCTTCTATGTTCCTCAGCCGTAAGTCTGCTAAATGATTTCTGAAGCTGTCTGCTAATGTTGAACAGGATTGCACCTCGCAAGATCTTGCAAGCTTTACAGCGGATCACAGACTCGAACCAAGGGCTTTCGTATGCGGAAAGCCCGATTTTAGGGCCCCTTTCCGGTGTCCCGCTCCGAGGCCGGAGCTTGTCTGATGCATTTGCTATGGCGAAGGGCACGGAATCGCCACCCGTGGTTCGAG